CAGCGAGGGAGGACCTGCCAAGGGCAGAGCCCGGGCACGGCTCTGGCGCTGGGGCCCCGCTTGCTGCGGCGCTCTGAGCTGCTCCCTCGGGCTGGGCGGTCGCTGTCGCCTCCGGAGCTGCCGTAGCGGAACGGGGCCAAGGGTGACGGGGCCGGGAGGGCCGAGCCGCGTCCTGCTTAGGGCGGATGTGTCTCCATGTGCCGCACGAAGCTCCTTTGAGCCGAGCTCCGCTTCCCCGAGCGTCTGCTCTTAACTGCCTCCCTCTCTCCGCAGTGCCAGCACCCCCGCGGGCGCCGTGCCCCGCGCAGGCGGGCAGCAGCGGGCAGCGCGTGGGCTCTGAAGAGTCGTCCTGCTTCCCTGCGGATCAGCGCTCCCGGGCCACCCGGCTGCAGGGCCAACAGGGCTGCACGTTGCTGCCTCCCGGTCGTTTCTCCCCGCGGATCCGGCTCTTCCTGGCGGACGCATCGGAGGCGCGCGGTGATGGCGATGCCCTGAGCCTTCGCCCCAGGAGCTTCAGGCCTGGATGTTGGTGCTGCTCCTCCCAGACGATGTGGCTGATACCCTGGAGAAGGCCGCTCCTGCCCCCTGTTCTGCAAGTGCCTGAGCTGCCGGCCGGCTGGGACCTGCGTCTCGCCCTGTGGGTGCTGAGTTTCACCTCGGCCATCGCGCGCATGGAGGGCCAGGTCTACTCTCCGACTGTCAACACTCACTATGGGAAGCTGCGGGGCGTGCGCGTGCCGCTGCCCAGCGAGATCCTGGGGCCTGTGGACCAGTACTTGGGGGTGCCTTACGCCGCCCCCCCGGTTGGGGAGAAGAGGTTCATGCCCCCGGAGCCACCGCCGTCCTGGTCGGGCATCAGGAACGCTACGCACTTCTCGCCCGTCTGCCCCCAGAACATTCACAACGCCGTCCCCGAGATCATGCTGCCCATCTGGTTTACCTCCAACTTGGATATAGTGGCCACGTACATCCAGGACCCCAACGAGGACTGTCTGTACCTCAACATCTACATCCCCACGGAGGATGGTGAGTCCCCACCGGGGTGCCCGCAGGAACGTGCACTCTGGGAGGGCAGGGGAGGCCGCGGCGCTGCTCCCCGGCAGCGCTTGGTCTCGCCCGGGCGTTGTGTTTGACGCATGTGGTCATGGCCCCTGCAGCATGCTCCCCTGTTTGTGGCAAGCTTCCTCCGGCCACTCGGCTCGCCCGCTGCCCTCAGCTGCCATCTGTGTGTCGCGTTGCCCCTCCACGCCTCCCCACCCCTCCACCTCCATGGCATTGTCACGGGCTCCTCTCTTGTGTTGCTCAATCTCAATCGGACTCTCTGACCGCAGATCCGCAGAGCGACGAGCTGGTTTGTGCTCCCCGGGGCGCCGAGTGCCAGGTTCTGTCTTGAGTTGGTTCGAGTTTTCTGTCCTTCCTGCCCTCCCTCCCTGCCCTCAGGTCCATGCGCTAGTGGTGGGTGCGGGATGCGCCTGGGAGGAACACTCTCCGCCGCTGCCCTCGGGCTGCCGTGGCCGGGCGCTCCGGTGTCTTTTCCAAGCC